TGCCCCTGCTCCCCAAAGCTCCGGAGAGTCCTGCGGGGCCACCTGTGCTGTGGGCCAGGCCTGCAGGGCAGGAGGGCGGCGGGTGGGGGGCAGGCTCCTGGGAGCACCCCCCATTCCCAGCGGAGACCCGTGGTGCCCAGCTCCCCACGCGCCTCTGGGCCGGGGCCCTGGTGGGCGAGGGCCTGCGGGTGAGAGATGCACCCCGCCACGGAGGCAGCATCGCGCATCCGGCCGGGCCCAGGTGTCCTCGCACCAGCGCGGTCATCGAGGGCCATTGCCTGTGGTTTTCTCGGGGATGGGGAGGACACAGGCGTCCTGGGAAGAGCAGCCCCCTCTGGGCCGAGGCTCTGCGGTGTCTGCCCGCCCCCCCGGCCTCCCCCCAGCCTCCCCCCAGCCTGGAAAGTCCCCGGAGGAAAACATCCCTGCGTGAAGCTCCCCCAATTCGCTGTCCCCGTCTGTCTCCCCTCCCCCGCGCCCCTGCCTGGCCCCCGCCCGCTCGGCCCGTCTGCGAGGCCCAGCCTCCGCGCACCACTCCAGCGGCCACTCCTGGCACGTGTCCTGGCCACTCCGCTGGCGCTCGGCGACCACGGCACCCACCGGGGCGCCTCGTCCGCAGTCAGCCTGCTTTCTGCAGGGTTCAGCCCAGCCCAGGCCACGTGCTCACACCGTGCCGGCCCCACGCTGTGCGGGCAGCCGGCCCTGCTGTCCCCTGGGCGAGGGGCTCTGCCGTCCACCCCCGAGGAGGTTCGCGCCCCGCCAGTCCCGGCCTGGCCCCGCGGACGGCGGTGTGGGCGGGCTGCGGGGATGAGGGCGGGGTGCTCAGGGAGCAGGAAAGGAGCCAGGGGAGCCTCTCGGAACAGTCAGGCCGCGGCCCCCCTCCAGCGGGGCTGAGTCTGCCCTGGCGGGAGGCCCGTCTGGGGAGGCTTCTGGCTGCAGTGGCCCCTGCTGCTGGCCTCTGGGGGTGGAGGCCAGGATGCAGCTGAACAACCACCCTGCAGCCCCCGCGGGCCCGCCAAGCCCTGAAGGCTGCCTGAGGCTGAGGGCGCCCCCACACCAGCCCTGTGCGAGACCTTGCTCTGCGCGGCTCTCTGTCCTGGCTCGATGGTGACCGCTGGCCCTGCACTTTCTCCAGGAGCGGCTGCCATAGAGGCCTCGGCCGAGGAGCACTCGCACCCCGCTCGGAAGGCGCCCATCTGCTGTGGGGAGCCCAGCACCAGAGACGAGGTCCTGGGGGGAGATGTGACCTGCGAGCAGCTGTTCTTCATGATGGATAAGTGAGGGCCCGGGGCCTTGAGCCGCTCCGGCCTCCGCCTTGAGCTCCTCCGTGCGTGACCATCAGGGTCACTGTTTTCCCGAGTTGGAGAGTGTGCCTACCTGTCCCCTGTTCCTAGGTACTTGAAAAGCATTGCAGGTGGCTTATGAGAGGGCCGCAGGGGGCCCCTCAGGCCTGTGAATGACCCCACCCTGCAAAGGTCTGGGTCAGACCTTTCTCCAGCCACCCCGCCTGCTCAGCTGGGAAATGTCCTGAGGACTCAGACACCCCCAGCCCATTTCCATGCCAGGAGTCTTAACACAAAAGACTAATTTTACATCCTTTTGTATTCAAATGAATTCTCCCTAATGCAAAGCTACCGTAGTATTTTTCATTAGTTCAAAAGTCAACTGAAGGGATCTGAGGTGTATAAAAATGTCGTGGTAGGAAGCGAGGATCTGAGCTCAGGCCGGAAGCGGCACATGGCCTTGCTGGGCCCACGCAGGGTGCGGGTCCGGCCTGCGCCCCGGAGCCACCCCGACTCTGCCCAACGTGCTTTGTGCTTTTCAAATAATTGATTCAAATAATTGAGGACGAGAGGAAGAAACAATTCTGGCAGTGAGAGCCAGCTTCATGAAGAACTTTCACTTTCTTAGAAGCCCCCAACGATGAATGGTCCCTCTTGCCGCTGAGGCGTTTTCTCCGCCTTCAAGCCTCCCAAACTCCTGTTCGCGCCTCAAAACCCGCCCGTGTCCCCTTTGCCACAGTCCTGGCTCCCTCCTGGCTCCTGGTTCCCCTTACTTTTCTATGAACTTTTCTCCCCGCCTTTTCAAACCACCATTAAGTCTTTAAATCAGATTTCCTTTTCCGTTTTATTGCGGCTTTCTCGGCCAGTTCAAATGATAAGATACTTGGGCGGGGCCTCCTGGTGCAGCTGGGCCTCCGGTCCTGTCCCCGCCCCTTGGTGGCCCGCAAGACCTCTAGTGCAGCTGGGCCTCCCCGTCCTGTCCCCGCCCCTTGGTGGCCCGCAAGGCCTCCCGGGTGCAGCTGGGCCTCTGGTCCTGTCCCCGCCCCTTGGTGGCCCGCAAGACCTCCGGTGCAGCTGGGCCTCCCCGTCCTGTCCCCACCCCTTGGTGGCCCGCAAGGCCTCCCGGGTGCAGCTGGGCCTCCCCGTCCTGTCCCCGCCCCTTGGTGGCGGGCGCCGCTGACCTCTCCGGCCTCCCCGCTGCTCCCTCAGCTCTGTCTCTGGTGGGCCCGCTCACCCCCTGCACCTCTGGCCTGCACCCAGTTCTGTGTGCCTCAATTTAAAAAAAATAATTAGCCCTGCCGCCCTTTAGAAACAAACCAGATAAGCTTAAGTGAGCCTCCGGTCATTTGATAGGTGTGGAGGAATTCCCCTTTCCAGCTCAGTGAATTGATTCTCACACCGTTCATGGTCTAAAACAGTTGCAGCCCGAGAGCAGGGTTTTAGGAGCTCGAGGGCGATTCGCAGTTACTTGGATTGACCTAAGACTTCCGCTGTGTCTACTGCTGTGAGCAGCTGTGACGGTTGCAGTTGTCACAACAGTTCGGGCTTGTTGTGTCACGGTGTTTTTGCATTCCCCAATAAACGAACTGTTCTGAAACAGCCTGTCTGGGCGCTCGTGAGCACGGCCAGCGCCCCACCGCCCAGACCCGCTCGCCTCGGGAGGGCGCATGGCCCGGGGCTACGCTGTGGACAGGCAGACGGCTTGGGTCGCGGCCACCCCCGAGGTCACTCACCAATCCCCCAGGCGGCACAGCCGCAGCGCCCCGGCGTGGACGCCGCCCAGCTGTCCTCCCGGGCAGCTAGCCGTGTCCACACGTGGACACTGGAAAGGGAAGGAAAGCGTGGCGCGGCCCCGAGCCCAGCACGTGGTGCCCAGCGGGGGGAGCCCGGCCCCAGCGCATGGCCCACTGAGTGGCGGTCCCCGGGGTGCCCCGCTCATGGAGTCAGACGGGGGCTCCCCGGGGGCCGCGGAGCGGGGCTGGGGCCAGGGTTTGATGGGTAAGGTGAGAACTTGTACACAGCGCGGGAATTCTGCAGCCTGGTTGCACAGCTCTGGGTTTCCCTGCACACCTGAGCCTTGCGGGTGGCAGGGTCAGGGGAAGGCGGTCATCTGCAGTAAGTGTTGCTACTATTAAGGTTTTTTTAATTTGAAAAGGTAACAGAAGAAATAGGCTGGGAACTGCAAAGCAACAGAAGAAATGGGCTGGGAGCTGCGAAGCGCTGAACATCGGAAGTCTTCCGCAGGGCGTGTGCAGGGCTGCGCATGCGCGAACCCTGGAGGCCAGGGCTCAGGGTGTGGCTCGGCCCTCCGCAGGCCTCAGACGTGAGCACCTCGGGGAGAAGCTTCCGGGCAGAGCCAGGACAGCGTCCCCCACCAGAGGGCGCTTCCCTCGGCCGGGCGCTGCCGGGGAACCCGCCTGCTGCAGTCGGGACGGGGCTTAGCATTTGGCTGTATCAAGTTTGCTTCTGGGGCCCCAAGGTAGCGTTTGAGGTTGCTCAGTACGGAAGCCGCCCTGAGGGCGCCCTGCTCCCTTCAAGTGCTTTAGCTTAAAATAGCTCAGACCCAGGAAATCACTCGCTAGCTAGCGCCTCCCTGCAGGGGTGGGGGCTGCAGCACAAAACACTATTGGCGATGGGTTGCGTCAAATTTGCTTCTGGGGCCCCAGGGTGGCCTGAGGTTGCTCAGTGAGGAAGTCACCTGAGGGTGCCCGTGCTCCCCTCAGAAACTTTAGCTTAAAATAGCCCAGACGGCAGGAACTCACTCACCGGCTCCCGGCAGGGCGGGAGGTTCAGCGTTCCGCGGCGCCCTTGCGCCCGCCAGAGCAGCGAGGGTTCTGCCGCCGGCCAGCGGGGTGCCAGTGTCGGGGCTCGCTCTCCCACCAGCTTCCCACCAGCGCGGCAGGCGCCGCGCTCGGGGTGGCGGCTGACAGTCCCGCTGCGTCCCGGCTCGTGAGACAGAACTGCCGGGAACTTAAAGCCCTGAGCGTGCTGGACGCCTCGCGGGCGGCCCGGAGGCGGCACACAGCTCTCCTGGCGAGGAGCGTGAGCCCCGGGGCGCCGCCGCTGGTGCCAGGCTGATCCCGGCGAGGGCCGAGCCGGCTGCCCGCCCTGGCTGAACTGTCCCGCCGGTAGGGTGACCCACGGCGGCCGGGCGGGCAGTGCCCGGCTGGTCACCTCCGTGCGAGAGGGAGAGCCCAGTACCCTCTTCCGAGGAGTCTCAGCCAAGGGTGCCCGCGGCCCTGAGCACGGGCTGGCGGGGGTCGCCATCGCCCCCCACTTTACAAGCTGCCAGCCGTTTCCCCCGTAAGTCAGCTCTGCGCTGCCGGTTTCTTCCGCCCGTGACTCATCGGCGGGGCAGTTTCCGCAGCATAAACTAGAAGCTGCACAGGATTACCCGTCAGGGTGTGGCCAGTTCTGCCCTGCTCTGGGACTCCAGTCTTTGTTGGGGTGCAGGGGTGACTTGCAGGGGGACTCCTGGGAATCCACATGGTCAACACGGCATGTTTCGCGGCTGGGGCAGGTCGGGGGTAAAATGCCCCCTGCTGGGGCGTGGCCCTCGGTCCGGCTCAGCGTCCTCACGTGTGGACAGCGGCTGCATCCCGCCCCGCTCCAGCTCGTGGGAGGGTTGAATGAGCAAGCAGCAGCCGCCGCAGCCGCCGGCCCCCAGGGCTTCAGCCGCCGGGTCAGCAGCTGCAGGGCGAGCGCGGATGGACCTGACCCGACGGGCGGGAGGTGGAAGTGGTGGCCCAGACAGGCCGTCCCCGCCCAGGGCCGGCCTTGACGCCTCCAGGTGCCCCCACCTCGGCCCACGCTGGCGTCGGCAGCACCAGGTGACCGGCTGGGGGCGTGGACGAGGCGGGAGACTGAGCGACTACAGTGTGAGCGAGAAGAGTGAAAGACTAAAACCCAGCTGCGCCCCGGAGCCCACGTCCACTCTATGAGCCGGGGCCCCTGGCCCACGCTGGCCCACGCTGGCATGCCCTGCTTGTCAGTGAGCCTGGCACAGGTGCCCCAGGGGCAGCCCTGATGGACCCACAGGTCACCAGCACCACCCTGAGGCTGAGCCTCCCCCTCAGCGTGGCCACGGCCGCTGACCTCTATCTGTGAGCCTGAGCCCCACGACACCATGCGCCAGGTGCGTGAACCCAGCTTCCCCGACGCCCTGAGTTCCCTCTGGGGCACCCAAGCTGGGCCAGAGGAGGCGGCCGGGGGAACTGGGTCCAGGTAGCAGGGACGGGGGAGCCAGCCGTGGCCTGAGCGGCGGCTGTCCCCAGTGTCCACAGGCCGCGCCCGCGTGGACTTCCTGCTCCGGAGCGCGAGGCTGCCCAGCGGGCCGAGGCCTGGCCTGCCGCTCATGCCCCTGGCCGGACTCTGCCACCAGCACCACCAGCTCCTGCCTCTGAGAGGGCCGCGGGAGCTGTCAGGGCCACGGTGGCTCGCCGCCTCCCGTGGACACTGAGTTACCCCTGGACTGCCAGCCTCCGGTCGCCCGGGGCCCCACGTTCCCCACAGGAGTGGCCGCCGGACCGCTGGCCCGCGCTCAGCCTGCTTCCCGCTTTGCGGATGTGGAGAGAAGGCGGGTGCGTCCAGAAGCCTCCCGAGCGCTTCGTCGTGGGGCC